AACTGGAAGAAATAGAGACCTAGGTAATTTCTACAGAAATAATAACTAAGAATTTTCCAACTCTAATGAAAGCACTAATCCACATGTTAAAGAGATTCCAAGATGATATAAATAAAAGAAAATCTTATAGACAAAGACTATATATGAAGCAACAAGAAATACAGATTGCCTGTCCAGGAATGGCAGACATATATGGTACTTCCCAGCAGCAACAATATAGGACAGTAGGATAATAATTGGAGAACACTGAAGACAAATAACACTTCAACCCATTAATTTTATACCCAGAAAAAGTATCCTTCAAGATTACAATGTAGAGCTAGGCAGTGGTAGCCCACGCCTTTAATCCCAGCACTCAGGAGGCAGAAGCAGGCAGATCCTGTGAGTTCGGGACCAACCTGGTCTATAAGAGCTAGTTCCAGGACAGCCTCCAAAGCCATAGAGAAAGGCTGTCTCGAAAAACAAAACAAAAATTATAATGTAAAATGAAGTCACCAACTTAAGGAAATCCTGCTGCTCTGCCAAAAGGAGGGTAATTCCAAGATAGAAAGATTAGTGTGTAGGAAGAAAAGTACAAAGAAAATAGGAATTGCAGGCATATATTTAAATGAGCATTGATTACATTAAACAAAATAATAAGATCTAACAGAGTAAACAGAAATATGTATTTAAAGCAGTCACGAAATTAACCTGTAAATTAGGAGGGTACCAAGTAGAGTGACAATACCTTTAAGTCCTAATGGTATAGCAAGGTGGCAATGAACTTGGTCTCCTTAGGTTGTAAAACTGCAAATAATGTCTACTCTAAGAGACAAAGAGAAGGAAACAATAAAAATTTGAACAGTCAAGAAAAGAAAAAAAAACATAGGATGTGTGCAAGAAAATAAAACGCAAAATAACATGTTACCTTTATGTGAAAATTCATCACAGTAAGTGTAAGTAAATTCAGTGTTCCAGTTTAAAGTAAACATTGTGAAACTTGACTGAAGATGTCTTAATGAGCTACATACAAAGGCCTACCTTTAAAAAGGGATGTAGAAATATTGAAAATTAAAAGGTAAGAAAATTGCCAAGCATAGCAATGTACAACTTTAATCCCTGCACTAGGAAGATAGAGGCAAAAGGATTTTTGTAGGTTTGAAGCCAGCCTTGCTAAACATAGAGAGTTCCAGGACAGCCAGGGCTACATAGAAACTCCCTGTCTTCAAGAAAGAAAGAAATAGAAAAATGCATTTCCATGTGTATATTATTATCAGATAGACTAAATTTTAACGCAAAATTTACTAGCAATAAAAAGCTTCATATAAAGACACATGCTATATATGAGTATTCACCCAGTCATGTATTATTAAACCATGTCAAGTGAAAGTTTAAAAAAGAGAAAAGAATAGAAAAATTCACAATGCTAGTGGGAGATTTTCTAGCTTTTTTACTAATACCATGGGCAGACATAAATTCAATACTAAGAGATTTAAACAAAGCAACCACTTACCTTTCCTGAATGGACAGCACTGAACATCCACAGAATTAATGCACACACTTTTTAAGCATGCATGCAGCATTTCTAAACTCTATTGTAGTTCATTAAGTACGTAAAGGAACACACAACACAGTTCAGGCGATTGTATCCACAGACAGCGTGTTCTCTGACTATGGTGGGACTGAGCCAGAAATTAATACCAAAAATATAGTTCCCCCAAATCAGGATATGCCTGGAAATTAAGAAAAATGTTCCTAGATAGCTGATCAAAACAGGCATCACAAGAGAGCTTAGAAAATGATTTGAACTGAGAGATCGTGAAAGCACAGATACTAAAACAAACATGGGACATAAGGGAAGATGGGGGATTTTACAGCCTGAATTATTTATTTTAGGAAATAAGACAACCTTCGAGTTAATTAGCTGGGCAGATACCACAGAAGTTAGAAAATGAACAGCAAGAGAGTAGCAGGGTAGAGTCCATAAAAAGAAGCAAAGAAACTGGTGAGACAGAAAAGAAACATTTAGCAGAGAAAAATCAATACAGCACACGTTGTCTCTTTGAAAAAGACTAAAAAAATAACAAACCTTGCAATCTTGTGAAAGGCAAAAGAAAGGAGGCCACCTATGAATGAAAAGGGTCCACACTACAGATGATGCAAATGTTAAATATTTGAGAAGGTTGTGTTGAACCTTATGCCAGTAAATTGAAAACTTTAACTGTAATGGGAAAAAAATCTGAAAAAATATGCAAGTTACCAAAAATCATAATAAAAAATGAAAAACCTGAATCATCTTCTAGCCATTAAGGAGATTAAATCAGCAGTACGAATTTTCATACAAATTGCACTCCTTGACTGTCGAGTTACTGCCTAAGGGCAGAGTGCTCGCACTTAGTATGATCCCCAGGACAGAGGATGAGAGAGAGAAGGAAGCAGAAAGGGAGACAGGGAAGAAAGGAAGGAGAGAGGAGGAAGGGTTCATCCCTCATGCCATCCTTTTAGAACATAGAAGAGGAGTGTATACCCTTGATAGAGAAACCTGATTAGGAGAGCTAGAGACATTTCTTCATTCCTAAAAATAACTAGCACCCAGAACCCATCAATACACAAAAAGATAAGACAGGGCCAACATGGTAGCACACACCTTTAATCCCAGCACTCAGAAGGCAGAGGCAGGTGGCTCTCTGTGAGTTCCAGGCCAGCCTTATATGTGTAGTCAGTGTCAAGCTTGCTAGGTTGGTATACATAGTAAATTCCAAGCTAGTCAAGGCTCAGAGACCCTATCTCAAAGAATTATATAAATAAACAAATGTTTAAGTATACAAATAAATAGCACTTCCTGTGGGGCTTGAGAGGTAGCTCAGTGATTTAAAGCACTAACTGTTTTTGCAGAACCACAGGTTTCATTCGCACACTGCCTGTAAGTCTAGCTCCATGGCATCTAATGCCCTCTTATGGCTTCCACAGGCTCTTACACACTCGCTGTTCTCATATTCTCCCACAGGCGCTCTCTCTCTCTCTCTCTCTCTCTCTCTCTCTCTCTCTCTCTCTCTCTCTCTCTCTCTCTCTCTCTCTCTCTCTCTCTCATACAAATAAATAAATCTTAAGAATGCAGGGTTTACAATTAGTAAATTAATCAGTGCTATTCCCCTATAGTAACTGACCAGAGGAGAAAAGCCACACAATACTTGTGAAAAGTGGCAGAACATCTTAAAAACTTGTCCATTCACTGTGACGGCTGGTTTTATGTCAACTTGACATGAGCTAAAGTCATCTGAGAGGAGGGAATCTCAATGAAGAAAATGCCTCAGTAAGACAAGGCTGTAGGGTATTTTCGTAACTGGTGATTGATGGGGGAGGCCCAGCCCATTGTGGGTGGTTCCATCCCTGGCCTGGTGATCTAGTTTGTAAGAAAGCAGGCTCAGCAAGCCATGAGGAGCAAGCCAGTAAACAGCACTCCTCCATGACCTCTGCATCAGTTCCCGCCTCCAGGTTCCTGCCCTGCCTGAGTTCTTGTCTTGACTTCCTTCAGTGATGAACAGTGATACGGAAGTGTAAGCCAAATAGACCCTCCCCAAGTTACTTTGGTCATGGTGTTTCATCACTGCAATAGAAACCCTAGGACACATGACGAATGCCCTTAAGCTGGAAGTCACAGGGAATATCTTTTCTTAAAGCAGCAGCATCGGGGTGCACAGGCATGGTCACTTACCCATGTTTAAGGACTTGTCTCTCATCAGGTAAGTCCCACATAGGCTCCCAAGATCCTTAGGCAATATCTACTGCAAACAGCTCCGCCTCCTCCCTTTCCATCAGCCTCTCCTTCTATCAAGCTTCCCTTTCGTGGCCACACATCACTCCAGAGTCACAGTGGGCCAGTACGGTCAGGGTAAATCCCATCACCCGCCAGTCCTGCTTCATTCCAAACTCCTTCTGTCCTGGTTTGCTTCCTATTGCTGTGATAAACACCATTACCAAAAGCATCTTGCAGGAGGGAACGGTTTGTTTTTCTTATAGGTTATAGTCCATCACTGAGGGAAGCCAGGGCAGGAACTTAAGGTGGGAACCATGGAGGAGCACTGCTTCCTGACTTGCTCTCACTCAACCTACTTTCTTTTACCCTCCAGGACCCCCTGCCCAGGAGTAGCACAGCCCACAGTGGGCAGGGCCGTCCATATCAAACATTTATCAAGAAAAAGTGCTGCACCATGCCCTCAGACGAATGGAATAATGCCAATTCCACAGTTGTACTTTGTAGCAAGCTTTTTGGCTATCTTAGTCTGCCAGCCCACAAATAATGACACAGAGACTTATAAAGGTTTGGCTTAGCTTAAGCTTTTTCCCAGTTAGCTCATAACTTTAATTAATCTGTTTTTATTAATCTGTGTTCTACAGTGTGGCTCTTGCCTTTCCTCAGTACAGCATGTCCGTGCTCCCAGGCGGCTGGTGAAATCCACACACCCAGATTCCTCCACCTCTTCCTCTCTCAGAAATCCCGCCTACCCTCTCCTGCCTTCATCCTTTTATTAAACCAATCACAGTGACACGTCATCACAGTGTACACAAAGATCATCCTACAATAGAGATTCTCTCTTCCCAGATGACTCTGGTTTGTGTCAAGTTGACAAAACTAGCCACATTCCCTCCCTTTGCTTCCCAGCCCCAGAACCCTCTTCTTGGGATAAGGCTATACAAATGCAAAGCACTACAGAAAGACACCTCCTGATGTTCATCAACCGCATCCTGATGCTATTTGTCCTATGATCTGCTGCCTGAGCCCCACCCTCACAGCCTCCTCTCAATAAAGTACCATTCTAAGTTGTCGAAGACACTAGAGAGAGGCCCAGGGTCACAGAGGTAGTACCCTGGCCCTTCCTTGAAGCCCTGGGCTCACCAGGAGGGACCTCCATGTCTGTTCACATGTAGCATGAGGTGTAACCATTGAGCACCAGCTTCAGTGTGTTGCCAGACAGCAAGCATCTTTCCTTACACACAGCATCTCCATCCCCCCTGCCTAGGAATGTACCAGGTGATCGAGGGCATCATCTCACCTGTCAATGACAGCTATGGGAAGAAAGACCTGGTGGCTTCCCATCACCGGGTAGCCATGGCCCAACTAGCCCTGCAGACATCTGACTGGATTCGAGTGGACCCCTGGGAGAGTGAGCAGGCACAGTGGATCGAGACGGTGAAGGTGCTGAGGTAACAGGTGTCATGTTGTTCTGTAGTAACATCTGCAGATTGAAGGGATGGGACAGATTGCCAAGGTGGCCCCAGCTGGAACTTCCTAGCTAAGACCAGAGAAATGCCTCTACTTATAGGGAGAGAGACCTGCAGAATCACCTTCTCAGAGGGGTCCCTGAACAAACATAAATGAGCAGCTTCTGGCACTTGGGATAGTCTTGATTCCAAGGACTCCAGCACCTCTTACAGTTTAGCAGCTCTGTGACTTTGAACATGTGACTAACCTCTCGGAGACCTCTTTGTCATTTGCAAAATGAGACTTGTGAGTGAATGAAGATTTTAAAACAACTTTCCTTTCCTGGAACCAACAAATGGCCTTCAGTAACTGGGACCTTTAACTTCTTGTCGTTGAACCTATATAACAAACTAAACATAGACTCTAATGTCAGAGGGAGGGGTTATTTTAAGACCAGAGATAGGTACTCTACATTATCTTTTGACTTTTCAATTCTTACTAGTGTTCGGTGTAGTCAGCACAGATGTTTGAAAGCTCTGGACCAGCCCTGCACGTTAGGACAGCCAGTGGGTCACTGTCCCGGCTGTTGGAGGGGAGGAAGGCTGGCCTGCTTCATCACTGGTAACAGGCTGCTCTGCTAGAAGTCACTGCAGTCATGTGACCTGTGCAGTCATGCAGGTTCTACACCTTCTGTTAGGGAAGGGACCACAGAGCACTCAGCAGTTCCAGTGCCGTCTTAGAATCTGTTGCCAGACTGCTAGGACAAGTGTTTAATAACTGTGCCAATACACGGTCCCTTATTTTTTAGTACCAGAACATCCTTTTAAAACGAGCCTTTCTTGCCACTCGCTTCTCCAGGCCAATTGAGAGGAACAGAGGCAAGACAGCAGATTGTCCAGCAAATCATTTACCTTTAGTAAGTACTCAGTGACTAGGCCTTTCTTCCCATCCCTATGAGAGCCACAGTTGTGTAGGACACAGGCTTTGAAGCCAGATTTAACTGAATGAATGACTTTCTAACGATATTCGATGCTATATAAGGAAAAAGATATATTTATTTACCAGAGAGAGAGAGAGAGTCGCACTGACCAGGAGTCAGAAGCGTGGCTGGCTTCCAGGAGAAAAAAGGGGAGCCCCTTTTCCTTTTGTTTTTATCTTTTATCTTTACCTTGACCACGCCCTGTTGGGCGGATAGCTCACTCCTACATGACTTGATGAAAGTGATTTGGCCTCCGCGAGCCTCACGCAATAAAATGAGAATATCAGCACCTAGCTCACAGGTCACCATGTGGTTATGATGAGATGGTGCAGGAAAATCAGCTGGTGGATGGTAAGTGCTAACTAGTATCACCTGCCCCCCTACATCCTCACACCCAGAAAGCCATGCACAGACCCAGAGACAATGACGTGGTCACTGCTGCTTCTGCTGCAGAATGTCCCTGTGAGCAGAGGCACTGCCAAACACTGTTTCTCCTTTTTTCCTGTGCCCTTCGCTCAAATGCTTCTGGATCCTGGGCACACAGCGTACTTTCTAGGTCCCCCACCCATGTGCCATCCCAGAGTTGGTGATCTCATGGGTCCGGGTGAGGAGGGGAGAGATCCAGTATTTCAGTCACTCCTGGTGATTCCAATATGTATCTAGGCTTGAGCCCCACAGCTTCGGTCACTGGATGAGAGAATCAGTGTTGAGATCCACTTAAAGAGCAATTAACACATGGTCACAACCTTGGCTGCCAGAATCACTTGGAAAACTCTAAGGTTTTTCTCCCAGGCCAGGGCTTCCAGATTGCTGGCACGGACACTAACCACAGGCATCTATTTCAAGGTCTGGATGATTGATGTTGTGCTGTTGTGCTTGCAACTTAACCAACAGAGTCACCAGTTTCTTTCAACAGATAGCTGATGAAGATTTTTTAAAAGGTTAAGAATCAGGCTAAAATTGTGAAGTCAAGTGGTTTTAGAATCATGATAAAAATCAGCCCCAACATCTGCTGCGTTTGGTGTCCCCTTGATGCTGTCACAGTGGATTCACAACACAGCATAACAAAGGTCACTGTGATACCAGCTCACCGAGGGACTTGGTGGAGACCCTTTATTCTGATGATGTTCACCTTTTTTGCTAATGCCATAAAGTCTAGGCCAACTTTAATGAGAGAGCCTTGGGTCCTGGGTTGTCCCTTCCTCCTTACAGTGGGAATTAACTAAAGAAACCATTTGACAAGAAATCTTTTTTTGCTCATACTTCGAAGGTCTTCAACCCTCATCTAATGTTGCTATTTCTGAACCACTGTGAGATAGAACAGGAAGGTGGAAGGCTGAGGTGGTCCCGATGTACTTATTTCCTGGTGGCCAGGAAGCAGAGAGACGGAGCAGAGCCAGAATAAGGCCCCCAAAGTCATCTCCCCAATGACCCACTTTCTTCAACTAGGCCACAACTTCCAAAGCTTCCGTCATCTCCTAAGAATGCTATCAAACCTCACACCTGCCAGTAGCCATCACTGATTAAGTGAGAGCCCATCTTACAATGACTGAACCTACAGCTAGGGCCCAAGCCTTCAACACACAGGCCTTAGAGCGTACACTTAACCTCCAACCGTAACAGTGGCTTCCCTTTTCCCCGTGTTGTGGGGAAGGCCTTAGTCAAAGTGCAAACATGGCCTCATGTCCTTATTTCACAGGGGAAAAGCACAAGGCTCAGAGATGCTCAGGGACCACAGTTACACATCGAATAAGCGAGAGGTGGAGCACCAGCCTTATGGGAGCCAGCCCCTAAAGCAGAGGTTCTCAGCTTATGGATCATGGTCCCTTAGGGGGTCAAATGACCCTTTCACAGGGGTCACCAAAGACCATCAGAAACACAAATATTTGTATTATGATCCATAATAGTAGCAAAATTACAGTTCTAAAGTAACAACTAAAATAATTTTATGGTTGGGGCCACCATAACATCAGGAACTGGATTAAAGGGTCACAGCTCTGAAACAGAAGCTGGCTGGCTGGAGAGATGGCTCAGTGGTTGAGAGCACTGGCTGCTCTTCCAGAGGACCTGGGTTCAATTCCCAGCACCCACATGGCAGTTCATAGCTGTCTGTAACTTCTGTTTCAGGGGATGTGACACTTTCACAGATATACATACATTCAAAAACATGAATACACATGAAATAAATTATTAACCGGGCAGTGGTGGGCACACACCTTTATTCCCAGCACTTGGGAGGCAGAGGCAGGAAGATCTCTGTGAGTTTGAGACCAGCCGGGTCTACAAGAGCTAGTTCCAGGACAGCCTCCAAAGCCATAGAGAGACCCTGTCTCTGGGGAGGGGGGAATCACAAACAAGCAAACAACAACAATGATGCTGGCTGGGAACGTGAGGTGGCTGACTTTTCTTTTGCCATAGTTACCCATTGCTGGGGCTTCCCTGGGCAAGTTTCTGAAGAGGCAGAAACCATGCCTTTGGGGTCAGTTCAGAGGCCTAGGACTGTGCACATCGGAGTACCACTCAGGCAGGCAGCAAAAAGGCAGCCACGGCCACTACCCCAAGGAACAGAGTCCACAGGGTAGATGCACTGAGTCCCGAAAGTGAACTGCCTCTCTCAAACACAGCTATAATAATACTCCATCGAGTACAGGGATGGTGGAAGATAAATTAGCTCGCCCAAGAGTGCTGAGGTTACCTGTGTCTGGTGAGAAAAGAAAGTGCAGGAGTCTCAATTTGAAGATAGATTGCTTAAAATTGAGCATGTCAAATTTGCATAAGTCTGATCGTACCTAGCATGCTCTGTGACTTCCCTTGGATTAACTCCCTCCATCTTCATAACTACCCGTGGTGGGGGGCACTGCCGTCACTCCCCATTTGCGCACGAGGAACCATCCATGTGACTGAGACTTGAAATCATTCATTAGGGTGACAGCCAGCATGGGGGTTGGGATTCAGCCCAAGCTGTCTCTCTCCAAGCCCAGGCTCTTAGTCACCATGCGTAGCATTTGAAGAACAAGTTTATGATAAGAGTATATCTGGAGCCAGCCGGAGACCACACAGTGCCACGGCTTACTGTGTGTAGTTCATTTACCTTCCCAGAATCCTGAAATCAGGCATTAGCACTTACACTTTCCAAAGGAAATGCATGTCTAAACTTACATCTGTTTTTGTTGTTGGTTGTGAGGTGTTTGTTTGTATTTTGGTTTTTATAAACAGGGTTTCTCTGTGCTGTTCTGGCTGTCCTGGAATTCCCTGTGTAGACCAGGCTGGCCTTGAAGACACAGAGATCCACCTGCCCCTGCCTTCCAAGTACTGAGATTAAAGGTGTGCGCCACCACTGCCTGGCTCACATCTCTGTTGAGAGCTGATGCCTTGGGCACCTATTTAACACTAGCGCCTATATTTGCAGTAGAGAATTACCTAGATGTGTGGGCAGGGCAGCATCAGGCTTACCTGTCCACTTCTGCCAGCTTGTGTAGACTGTGGTAAAGTGAACTGAATAGGACTCTCTGTGGCTTATGCTTCCTGTCCTACCCCTGGAGCACTGCCTGGCACATGGTGGATCCCCAGTGATTTTCAGTGAATGGTGTAAGATGTACAGAAGCAAGTCTTAAATTCTCAGACGCCGGGATGGTGTTGAGGGTCTAGAATACAGCACACCTGAGTCTATGTGTTTACACCACAGGCACCATCGCAGCCAGCTGCTGAAATCCTCAGCCCAGACGGAAGATCCAGACCCCAGCAAAACGCCATCAGCCTCTGCAGGTGGGTGCCAGCCCCCTGGTCCATAATGGGGGATGCAGGTGAAGATTGACGAGCCAATGGCGTTTGTCCAGCTCTCTCAGCATGAACTAGAACTTGAGACCTGTCTGGTAGTGCAGGTCTACCTACACGATGTATGGTGTGTGTGTGTGTGTGTGTGTGTGTGTGTGTGTGTGTGTGTGTGTGTGTGTGTGTGTGTGTGTGTGTATCCAAGGTCAAGCGGTTAGATTAGACAACCTGTCTTCCCCACTCCCACCCCAACACCATTATTTGTGCTGATTTGAGATTTATTGTCCAAAGGAGTTTAGCTACCCTGTGACTTGTGCTCGTGACATGAATTCCAGTGAGGGCCACACAGGGACAAACTGGTGACTGGTGCCAGGGTTCCTTAAAAACCTTAGCCTTCTGAGTTTAGAAGGATAAAGTCGGGATGAGAGACTCACACTTCCTAGCAGCCGCTCAGTGAATTCCTCAAGTAGGAAAGTAGTTTTAGGAGAGCTTGAAGTTCTCTTGGGTTATCTTCTGAAATTAGAAACCCTAACCTCCACTCTTTGTTCTCCTGCTTGGTAGAGGCAAGTCCTGTGGTTACAGAGTATGCAAAGCCCTGGGGTCAAGGGTCAAAGGCGAGGCTCTCAAGAGTGTAGGATGGGTGCAGAGGGAAGGATGTAAAGCAAGCTGGGAATCACTGGCCCCACTGGCCAAAATCCCAGCAGGCCACATGCATGGTTTTCTACTAGAGGGCTCCCCCCTCTAGTTGGTGGGACACTTTCATATCAGAAGGGTTCAAGAATGCCAAGGATAGATGCGACTGAGTTTCTTTACTACAGAGTTTCACAGAACCCTTACTGTGTCGACATGCATTGTGGCTTAATGAGAAAAGGACAGAGCCTACCACTCTTTAACCATGACTCTTATTTGTCTGTTGGTCCTCAGAATACTCCCAAATACATCTCAGAAAGGACTTGGGAATGTCCTGAAATTGCCATGTAACCCTCAGATGCTGATCAAAGACTATACACAGTAGAATTGCCATGAGTCTTGTTAGAAACATGAATTGCCAGACCACTCCCTAGACCTCCTGAGTGGGAAAGACGCTGGGAGCCTGATGTTTAAGATCACTCAGAAATTGAGACTATATACCGGAATGAGAGCCTAAAAAGGAGTTGCAGGGCCACCAATATAACCAATCCATAAATGTAAAATGTACTATATTCCTCTGGCCTGTCCTCCTTACCTGTGTGGGCTCCTCCATTTCCAGCCCCAGATGTGGACCATGGACAGGATGTCCTCTGCACATCATAGACACAATGCTATGTCCTTTCTGCATCTCCTTCTACAAAGTCCTACATAATGCTGGTGGACACTATGAGAGCAAGGCTCTAAGTCCTACATGATGCTGGCAAGTGCTATGAGAGCCAAGCTCTGAGATCAGGGGGAGTAGGCACTCCAGCAGCCCAGCCCATGCCTTGAGCTGGACACAGCTGTGGGGTGGAGGGAAATGCAGGCATTAGTGTGAAAGGCTGCTTCGTGGAGGAGCAGGCAGCTACACTCATGTGTACAAGACCAGTGGACTGTGGGGTTAGAGCATTTCAGAGCAGAGAGGCAGAGATGCAAGAGCAGGAACGTGTCAGCATGGGACATTGTAGACCTGGGAAACATCAGGGACTCTAGGGGTAGCCCCAATAACTGCCTAGGCACACCCCACTCTTTTTTTTTTTTTTTTTTTTTGCTTTTAATCTTGAGACAGGGTCTCACCAGGTTGCCCAACTGGCCTTAGACTGTTGTATCCAAGACAGCCCTTGAACTTGCAATCCCCCTGCCTCAGCCTCTTGAATAACTCAGATTGCAGGCTTATACCCTCAGGTCTAGCTAGCATGGCAGTTTTTACGATGGCAGAAAATAAAAGCAACTAAGAATGTAAATACAAAGGAACACTGAGTAAATTACACTGGATGCATCAAAAGAGTCTGCATCGGAAGTTTCAAGGAGATGGAAACACTGAGGAAGTGAGAGACCCACCATATGATAGTATATGTATGACTTTAGGTGACAATGAGTGCAATTCCATATTGTCTGTATATCTAAATCAATGTGGAAACCTACGAAAACACACCAAAATGTTGATGGCTGTAGAACCCAGAATCAGCCTGATGGGCTGCTGTTGTTGTTTTCAGTTTTCAACATTTACAGTTCCCATATGTTCCATCGTGAACACGCATTTCATGTTCATCATCAGTAAAAGGAAAAAATGAACATTTTTAAAACAGGAAGGTGGGCCTTTCTCAGCATAAGCTTGGATCTTGATGGGATAGCACAAATGTTGCCAGTGCCATATTTATTCCTAAGGGCCACTTTGGGGGCTGTGCATTTTATTGTGTGTTGTCACACTCTGGGATAGCAGATGACATGCTGAGCACAGCACTGGTGGCAGCCAGATCTGATCCTCACTGTCACTTCTGTAACTGGCAGACCTCCTTGAAGTCACCTGTCCCCATGTGGATTGCTGTGATCCTGGTGGCTTGGGTGACACACTGGAATAGGTGACACCTCAGGGCTTTTAACAGCAGCCAAGCTTACTGTCTGTCATCTGTCCTGTAAGGGTGGCCCTGCCCATGGCAGATAAGACTGAGCCTTTCTGTAAAAGCATCCAATCTTATGCCTATTTCACCAGGGATGACTAGTTTGGGTGCTGCCAGGTGTCATTCCTGGATTCATCTCTGGTGTCCTGATATGAAGATCTCTCTAAGTGTGTTAGTTGGATGTCATCATCCATGGCTGTATTCATACATCGCAGTTGACAGGCTTTCTCTCCACCTGTCACTTCCTGTAACTTACATGGAGCCTTTACCATCCCCATCTTACAACTGAAGAAATAGGCCCACAGGCAAGGTCACTTTCCCAGGGTCCCAAGACTGACTAGCCTTGAGATTGATACTCTTCAATGCCATTAACTTAGGACCATCAAAACACAGGCTTCTAGGTTCTGGGATATTTTCCTTACAGCTTGTATAAGTTTTGGCCCATTTGCTTTTCAAAGCCCATGTCTACTCAACACCATAGTAGACTACTCAGCAAACACCCACAGACCTCCCATTTACGTCACTGTGCAACTGTTAGGCAAGTCACACTGGCAGCCTTTATTCGTTTTCATTATTTATTTGGTGGGGGGTAGTGCATGTGCATGCTGTGTCCACAGAGGCCGGAGGAGGGCTTTGGATCTCCCTAGCACTGCTCCGGACAGTTGTGAGCTGGAGGAGCAGCCAGTGCTCTTATCTGCCGAGCCTCTTCCCATCCTCCAGCCTTCATCCTTGACTTACCTCCTTTGAACTTTGGTCTAAAAATTCTGTAGCCTTTTATGCATGAATTTGAAGGAGCTATGTGACACAAGCAGCCCAAAGTTGTGGGCTGAGGCACATGTGGCCATGAGAGTTGGTCACTTCATTGTCTTGTCCCAGGTGTTAACAGGTGCCTCCAGCCTCACAAATGGGCCTTTGATTGGGGGGCAGAGCTCAGTCCTTTCTAGTCGTCTCTAGTCACAGCTCAAAGTGAATATTATTTCTTTCTGTCAGTATTAATGAATCTGTCTAGTGTGGAAGCTGAATGTCAAAACTTTCCCCACAAAACCCACTAGGAGAATCTGGGGAGATGGCCACATGCTTGCTGTGCAGGTGTGAGGATGTACCTGTTCAGATCCTAACACCTGTACAAAAAGACATGTGCAGCTATGTACTCCTGCAACCCTGCCCATGGGGGGTGGAAAACAGGAATATTGCTAGGGCTTTCTGGCTCAAACATGGTGAGCTCCAGGCCCTGCCTCAATGAAATAATGCAAAGAGAGAAATAGAGGAAGAAATTCAACATCCCCCTCTGACATGCATACACACACACACAAAAAGCGGGGAAAACAGCAAGAGAAGACAAAGTGTCTTGTCTGTTCTCTGACCTATAGAAACAGAGCGGATATGCCCCAGGCCCCAGGAGATGATGAAATCAAATGAGTATCATTGAACCAGTTGTTTGAAAGGCCAAACCCTGGTCCCTTACTATCCTGCAGTGACTCAATAAATAAGAATTAGAGCAAATTAGTAAAGTGTGAATTACTGAATAATTTGTAGCACAATTTTATTGCTGTAGAAATCAGGAGATAATTTATACTTACTGGGTGAATATTTCTGGGTAGATGGGTAGATAAGTGGATAAGTAAATGGATTAGTGAATGGATGAAAAGCAGTTAAAACATATAGCATCCTGTGCTGGCCATGGTTCTATCTGTCTTAGTAGATAAACTCATTGAGTGCTAAAATAACCCCACAAGCTGAGCACTACCGACATGCCCATTTGAAAGTGAAGATGACAGGAGCCACCAAATAGCAGAACCAGAACCGAGCCTGAGACATGCGGGGCTATCTGTGTAGCCACTGAGAGCCTTGTGAACACTAGTCAAAGAATTCTCCAATGTCGTTCATTAGGCCAGGATTCCAAGGCTACAGCATTGGAAAAGTCCTTTTGTGTGATGATATCTGCTGCTGTAAACAGTCCCCTGGCCTGTTGTCTCTTGTAGGTGAGGAAGTGAGGCCCAGGGCAGGGAGGACAGTGTCAGCCCCACAGCAGCATTTACTCCACGGGGGCTGAACCTCAGACCTCTCCAGACCCTGCCAGGATCTCTTCTTTCCCAGGCCAGGTCCTGCTTCTCTGTAAGCCCATCCTCTTCCATGACCAGAACCTGTTCAGTAGTCTAAGCAAACCCTTTACATCATGTTTTTTCCCCAATGTGTGGCAGTCCATAATCTCTTTCTTGCCACGTCTTCAGGATGACAAAGATGGAAGGCCAGCCTTTGCCATCTTCTGGAATCAGTTTCTAGAAGTACCAGGGACACAGTGTGTGCTTCTAACATGGCTTGGCTTTCCTGTTCAGATTAGCCAACACCAGATGAATGGTGTCAGCAAGTCAGCTAATCCTCTAGTGCTCCCGGGCTTCCTGTTCATAGCACATGTGCAGATTCTCACCAGCAGGCGGCAGCAGAACCTCGCAGCTACAGATGCCCCACCTGGAGACTGCCAGTTTGCACCCAGTCTTCCCAACTGAGCCCTCCTTGGTTTCCTTTCTGCAAAGTGGACACAACAGACCTACCTCATAAATCTGTTCTGAGGGTCATGTTATTACCCATGTTGTGCCTAATAGTGGTACCATACTAAGAACCTAAAAGAAAAATTGTAACAGTCAGTGTTCCATTAGAATAAACTCTGCAGGACTGCCACACTGACCAACTGTCCTAGAGCTTTGTCATATTGCAAACAAAAATGAAAAGGCCACCCGCTGGTAGAGACCTTTTGGTCATCCAGAGAGCCTGTTCATTTTCATGAAGCTATGAAAATGCTAGATCCTTGGGACCTAAAATGACAAGAGCCGAATTGGATGTTGGGGTGGTGACTTGTACAGTGCTTGTAGCTTCTTGATGTTGGGAATTTAAAAGTCTAACTTATCATCAGATAATGGACTTCTGGGGACAGCATGGTTACCTCTGGGACTCTCTCCACCCTGATCCAAAGCAACCACAGACAGACTTCTGTAGTAGCACTGAGCACTGACAGGCAAAATCTGTTTTGCTTGGCTTGACACTTGGCCAATATTAAACAAAAGCTATGATGTTGAAACCTTAGAACTGTAAGTTATGTTACTTCAGATTTCTGTAACCTCACTGAGATCGCCCTTGTTTTTCAGCACTGCCTGAGTTGAAACTCCTCTGTGGAGCAGATATCCTGAAGACCTTCCAGACCCCCAACCTCTGGAAAGAGGAGCACATCCAGGAGATAGTGGAGAAGTTTGGCTTGGTGTGTGTGAGCCGCAGTGGTCATGACCCGAAAGGGTACATCTTGGACTCACCCATCCTCCGACAGTTCCAGCACAACATTCACCTGGCCAGGGAGCCCATTCAGAACGAAATCAGTGCCACAAAAATCAGGAAAGCCTTGGGCCAAGGGCAGAGCGTGAAGTACCTCCTCCCTGATGCTGTCATCACCTACATCAGGGACCATGGCCTCTACAACAATGGCAGTTCCTGGAAAGGAAAAGGAAAGATTAGCTAGAGGGCCTCCCGAAGAATGGCAGTTAAGAGCTTTGTTTTGCTTTGGGGTCTGTGTTTCCCTGTTTGTTTTGTTTCTATGATGATTATACCATGGTTGACTCCCTACTGCAGAAAGAGATTGTTTCTATGGCTGGGACTGTCATGTATCAGAGCAACTTAAATGGCGCAGCAAGTCATCGGATTAGGCAAAATCTCAAAATCTCTCAGGGCCACTGATGAAGAGACCTACTTACTTGTGTAAATGGTAATTAAATGATGCACTTATGCTATTCTGAACATGGCAAGTACCTGAGAGGTTGGATCACAGTTGTCCTCATGCATTTTTTTTTTCAACAGACCAGGTGCAGCATGCTGGTCTTAATTGGCAGGATTTGACAAGGTGCTGATTACTGAACAGTAATTAGCCTTTGCAGTGTCCTTGTTCAAATCATAATACCAGCTAAGGATTTAGAAATCTGGAAACAGTACATCATTGATTTCCAGTTTGTCCTCCCTTATAACCTTACAAACCATGGTCTGCCTGCCCGCCTGCCTACCTGCCCGCCTATGGTATAGCAGTAAAAAACTTTTGATCACCCCCTTTCTATGTTATGGTCAAGCAATATTTGTAAGATTTATTTTAATATGTGTGTGTGTGTGTGTGTGTGTGATATGTGAGAGGAAATCAAAGGGACCTCAGAGTTCCTGAAGCTGGAGTTATAAGCAGTTGTGCACCACCTGATGTGGGTGCTGGGAACCAATCTTATAGAAAAGAAGCCAATGCTCTTAGCCACTGAGCCATCTCTCCAATCCCCTCAAGCTATATTTTTGATACAGCAAGTATTTTTACATTGCTATACTCTAAACCCCAGGGTTCCCAATATCCTGATTTCTAAAAAGGGACTGAAGTAAAACAGATGCTGGCTGTTTTAGAAGACTTTTTGAATGTTTTATGACTGCCTGACTGTTGGAATATTGGCAAAAGGATAAATAATAAATCGACATCAAAAAGTACTAATGAAAAGTTTCTCTGTTTTTCCTTTGTTATATTATTAATGCCCAATGTTGCAGCTGTTGCTCTTCTATTCAGCTACTTTGAAATGTGTCCTGTTCCAATCTAGGTGGCATGAATGTAAAAGTTTGTGCCCTGAGTACCAGCAGTAGAGGAATGTCCTAGTCAGATTAACACAGCCTAGAGTCACCCAGAAGGGTATGTAAAATTGAAGGGTTATCCATATCAGAATTTTGCCTGTAGGCATGTTTGGGGGTAAGGGGTGGGGTCTTGATAACTAATGAAGAAGTGTCCAGCCCACTATGGGCCACACCATTCCCTAGGATGGTGTTCCTGAGCTGTATAAAAAAGCTAGCTGAGCATGAGCATGAACAAGCCCGCAAGCAGCATGCCTCTGTGGTTTCTGCTTCAAGTTTGTGCCCTGACTTCCTCAGAGACAGACTGTGTGACCTGGAAGTATAAGATGAAATGACCCCTTTCCTCTCGACTTTCCTTTTGGTCCAATTGTTTTATCACAGCAACAGAGATGAAACTGGAGCAGAGAAGGAATAGCTTCTCAGTATAACCCAGACGGTTTTCCAAACTAAAGCAGTCGGCCATGGCTCTGTGTGTGCACCCTGAAAGGTGAGAAGGAAGTGTGTGGGATTTGCCACTCCACTCCTGGGTTAATCTTTGGGAGTGTCCTCTTTGTGCTGAAGGATTGGCACAGACTCTGAGTCCCCATGCTCCATACTGGCTCTTCTTTGCTACACATTTAGTGACACGGGAAAATAATAGGCCAAGCAACGAGGATCTAGTACCCCTGAAAACTCCCTGTGAACCTTGAAACAGGTAAGAGGAAATACAGACACAGTGACTGTCCTATGGAGTCCTGCAGACTTCCCTCCTTGATTGCGTTCTGCCCACCAAGAGGTCCCTGAAAGCCTTGCTCACTCAGGGAAATACGGATCAAATAGCTTGTCTAAAAATGGTTACAGCACATAGTAGGACTTCAACTCCTTTTACCACTGTGAGCTGCAGTTTCTTTAACTCCACAGTGGAGGGTTTGCTTATATGTGCTCTAAACTTCCAGCTCTAATTTTCTTTCTCTTTCTCACTTAAAAGAAAGAAAGAAATGATCTATTCAGATAGTCTGGGTTTAAGCTTCTGTTTTGGTTATTGTTTGTTTGGGGTTGTTGTTGTTTGGCAAGGTTTCACTCTTAACCCAGAATGTAAGCCATACTGGCCTGGCTCCTTTTTCAGCAATCCTCCTGCCTCAGCCTACTAAGGCTGGGATCCATAGCACACACCACCATTCCCAGCTCAGCCCTGATTTTCTAAGACTCTGGGCACCCTGGTGTCAGTTTCCCCAGCCTTCTTTGGGTCCAGTACCCATCTAGTCGGACTGGAAGGTCAAAAAAGAGATGTTGTCTTTTGCAGATGGGAATGCTATTGGGTTCCAGGAACTGGTTCCAGAAAGACTCTTGGGCCCCTTGCAAATGAACCAACAGAATCGACTTCCTAATGAGATTCATTGGCCTCAGCTTCGCTCACTCCAGATGATCACTTGTCTCTTTCTCATTTATTTATTTGTTTGTTTGTTTTAGGTGTATGTGAGTGTTCTATCTGCCTGTACGCCTTTATGCCAGAAGAGGGCATCAGATCCCACTAGAGATGGTTGTGGGCCACCATGTGGTTGCTGGGAACTGAACTCAGGTCCTCTCGAAGAGTAGCCAGTCTGAGCCATCTCTCCAGCCCCTGATCACTTGTTTCATTAAGCTGAAGGTAGCATGGGAATTACTTGGCACTGATGAGTACTGCCTCTTACCTCCGAGCCGCATTGTCCCACTGTTCCAAGTGGGTCAAGAAGGGAGAGAACTCAAGCCTGCAGACAGTGTATCCAGAAGGTGAGGTGGAAAAGGGGTCCGTAGGTTTGAGAATGGGGTTCTTAACCTCAACAACAGACATTCTGGTATGCTAACTGCCTGGGTAATTCTTTCCCGGCCCATGCATTGTAAAACTCCTTCCTGGCCTCAATGCACATGATGCTAGTAGTATCACGATGTGGGATAATGCTCTTGTATGCTATAAAGATTCTTCACTTGTATTGGTCTAATAAAATGCTAATTGGCCAGTAGCCAGGAAGGAAGTGTAGGTGGGCCTGCCAGACAAGGAGAATTCTGGGAAGAGGAAAGTCAGAGATGAAGTCACCAGTCAGATACAGAGGAAGCAAGATAACAATGCCTTACTGAGAAAAAGTACCAAGCCACATGGCTAAACATAGATTAAAATGATGGGTTAATTTAAGTTGTAAGAGTTTGTTAGTAATAAGCCTGTGCAATAGGCCAAACAGTTTATAATTACTATAAGCCTCTGTGTGTTTCTTTGGGACTGAATGGCTGCTGCATGGGGCAGGACAGAAACTTCAGTGTCATTAATAGCTGTGGCAACACAACTGCCCAATACATATGTCAAACATTCAGAACACCAGTTCCAACCACAGTTGAGACCCACTGGCTCAAGGCTACATTGAAGATGTGGGAAAGGGTGGGTTTTTTTCTTTCTTTCTTTCCAGTTGAGGACATCAAGAGGCTGCAGTGTCCAAAAGAGCTTTCAGAGAAGACCAGTGAGAGTCCCCCTGCCATGCATGAAATCATGTTATTCTAGGGCACACAGTGCCATTGCATAGGAACTGGAACTCCCAGGCACCCCAGCTTTCATTCCTCCCCCTCTCAGCACTCACAGCATGTTTCTGGGCTAGTTTTTTACAGCTGAGAATTCCAACATAGCCAAACCTTCTGTGCTAGCGTCTAGGACCTGACAAGTGAAAGCTTCGCTGCTGGGAGTTGGTTGTTTCCTTGTTGTTATTGAACTTTAGGATTCATTTACTCAGATCACACTTACTGAGGTCCTCGCATGTGCCAGGGATGTGATGGTGAGCAGATGCAGTCTCCATCCATAAGAAGCTTAGAGTACAATGGAGAGCACACAAGATACCAGTGACCACAAACTAAGGTTGTGAGTGCCAACAGTGGTGAGGGCTCGAAAGGCGACCCTGATATGCTGATGGCGGAAGCAGCCAGTTCTCTGTAAAGCTAACAGAGCTTGCACTTTGGCTTCCCACTTTTCACTGTCCTCCTTATATAGGTATCTAAGTTCCTGATTCTTGGTCCTTTTTTGAACTCATTCGAGGTATAGACTCTCATAAAGTGGTTTTCCCTAATGGGTGTATCCCAGAGACTTTGGGATGGGTGGGGGCAAATGGCTTTGAAGAAGAATGGGGCACGCAGAGGCCCTGAGGCAGAAGAGGCAAAATGGGCACCATGGAGAATGAGAGTCGTCCATGCCTCTTTAACAAGGTGCTGGCTACTGCACTGCACCTAACAGCAGGTGCCCTGCGTGCCACAGTCTCTCTGCCAGCCTTTCCATAGGTTTAATAGCCTTTGAGGGCATACTTTAATCTCCATGATCCATATCTGAATTGTGCAGTTTCTACCAAACATTAGCTATTTCCATAATAAAGCACAGGAAGACCTATGCTTTGAATATATGTATATATACACATATATGTGTGTGTATTATGTATATATACACATATACTCACATATATCTTAATTTTTGTCACCTGCTCTGTCTCACTGATTCATGTCATCTCCCTCCCTTAGTAGCAGGAGGGAAAATGTGTGTCACTGCTCTGCCCCTGATACATTTCCTGGCACCACCCCCTGTACTGATTTCACATTCCTCTCCACTCCCTCAGGTGTCCTTTGCATCTTGATGCCTGGGTATTTTGTTTGTTTTGCAAGAACAGAAAACAGTGGTTCAGGCTCCTGGGTAAATAGAATTTCCAACCTTAAATAAAGATTCTCCTATGACACTATTCCATACCCAAATGAGAACAGTGCTGTCTCTTTGCCTGGGGAAAGACATTTTCATTTCTAATACTGTCTGTATCACTTGGGACAGAATGATGTGAAATCCCATTTCAAACCAATACAGCTTTGGCTTTGCAAGGCACGTTTGGTAATTGGGTTAATGCATGAATGTGTATCTCCTTAGCCTTGTCCTCACTTTCTATGCTGACAACGTTGCTGCCCCTCCCAGTTGGAGAGGTCTTCATACATCATAGTATCCAGTGTCAGTCATAAGGTTATTTTCTTAGCCCAAACCCTGACATTGTAGATGCAAATATGGGTGACTGATAAATATGTCTCTGCAGTGACTCACATAGGCGCATGCCTCTGAATAGTTTAGTATTGTTTAAATAACTTCAGAAAACATTGCTCTTGACAGCCCAGGCTGCAGGGACTATGAGAGGGACCCCCGAGTTCACCGGGACTCACATCTCTGAATTAGCGAACACTGAGTGCGAGAGGGTTAGAGCATGAACAGTAGTATGCTCTGGGACAGGCTTGGGAAGCCCTGCCTTACCTTCTGTTGGAAATGCAATGTGCCTGCATGCCTTGTTGATACTACCTTCCTGTGCATCCGTGTCACCTCCTGCTCATTTCTGTTGCTGTGAGAAACAACATGATCAAAAAGCATGTTAGGGGAGCAAAGGGTTTATTTAATCCTATACTTACAAGTTGCAGTTCATCAGGATGGAGTCGGGTAGGAACTCAAGGCAAGAACCCGGAGGCCAGACTGCTTGCTAGTCTAACCAGTGAATGACCTCACAGAGAACACAGAAGGAACCATGGAGGATGTGTGTCCAAACACAGCCATAGTCCCTTCTTGCATTCCTTCTGGAAGAAGCCATTAAGGAAATAGAAAGATACACCACAGACTAGGGGGAAGCATTTACAAAAATGTGTACATCTAATGTATGTATCTAATAAATGAATTGTTTCTAAAGACTGCCAACAACTCTAACAACCAAGATAATAGAATCAATAACCCAATTAAAAGATGTTCCAAAGAGTGACATGCTGGAAAGAGTGATGCTTCCAGCCCCTGACAGTGCTGGTCAGAAGGTCTGCTGGGAGGCTGGTCTTGCTCTGCATCTGAGAAATCACCTTCCATA